TGCTTTGCTATCCTTGTGGGGACTCTCCATAGGCGTAATGGTTTTTATACTGTACAGACCGTATATTCTATTGCCCTACACCAACCCTACCCCTAAACCTACCCCTCACAGGAAACTTTCTGCATTTTTAGATTTTCAAAAAACTTCATCCTGTGTGATTTATTAGCTTGTTTACCCGTGGGGACCTCAATTTAGGTCCCCACCGTGACACGAGTCCCCGTGAGTCTGTGTGTATTCAGGTTTAAGTCCCCACACACACACACAATCACACACTCTCTCTCTGTCTCACACACTCTTTATTAGAAAGCACAAACTCTTATCGTCTTCAAACGGCTGTAGCTTATTTCTTGTCCAATTCCAACAAGTCATATATCATTTTGAAGGTATTTTAATGGAGAATATGGAAATAAAAATAACCGTTTTTTGAAAATTTGCTCATTCTGACTTATTTTGCCAGCGCGGGTCACATGTGTGACTTAATTACCACTAAAACACTCACTGCACTCAAAGTACTCACTGTTTCAGTAGCTGTTATATGATAAAATCCCTTCTTAAGCCACTCTGTGTAACTCTGCAGTTATAACACTGTACTTCTGTAGCAGCGAGCCTGATCAAACACACAGCTTCTGGTGATGAGCTGCTTCAGCTGTGTTTGATCAGGGCTGCAGCTAAACTCTGCAGGACCTGCTGTAACGTCTGCACACATAGAAACAACGAGAGCTAAGCGGCATCTGGACAGCTGCTGAAAGAAAAACACTGCTGCTGGACACCAAACACTACACCAGGCGTTTGATGCTATGGCTGCGGGTGTTATTATCTCAATGAGGAACAGCTGATGAATGAATCAATCCACTTCATCAGCATTACAGTTCAAGTAATGCTTGTTTAACAGAAGAATATTGAGATTTTATACAATTACAAGAGTCACATTTGTACCGAAATTGTCACATTCACTTCCATCGTAAGTGCCACACTGGAAACATGTTTTTTGCGTTTTGTAAAGAAGAGCAGGGACGAGTTGTTGTGTTTTTGTGGTAACCATCATTATGCCACTTGTGCTGTCAGTTGAACTTGACTTATTTTGAACCTGTGAGTTTCCTCAAAGCAGCTTTGCAGTGTGATCAGCGTCACCAAATGCAGGGTCCTTCAGGAGAGTTAGTCCAGCAGAGGAGAGCACGACAGACACTCACAGCTTCAGTTTGACTCGATGACTTATGTCTGCATTAATACATTTCAAAACGGCCTTTTCATTTCAAAACGCTCTCCGTCCACACTAGCGTTGTACAAAAGTTTCTCATCTGCACCGAAACATCAGAAAATGTTAAATTCGCTTTACTGCGATACAGATGAAACAGGCACGATATGTTTTCATGCAGTTCTTCTGGCAGGACCATTTTGTTTAGGAAAATATCTCCTCGTTCACTGACGATAGTATGTCTGATCTAAAACACGACTGCCCTCATGTTTCGCTGCAAACAGCAATCGCGAGTACATTTCCGGTCATCTTTGCAGGACTGTGATATGAAGAGTGTACCAAGTAACACATCTGTAGCAAAAGTGTGAAAGTGAATAGCACATGACAGGCACAATACCGGGATAAACATGGATATAATATGTGTCACATGACCACACATGCGTCGTCATTTTCAAAAGCCTCTGTTTTCACAGGCCACACTGCAATGTGACAACAGCCTTTTCAAATGTACCCACTTTGGAGAGCGTTTTCAAAAAGCTCGGTTTTTCTTGACAAAAACGGCGTCTCAGTGTGGACGGAAGGCCGAAACGGAGAGGTATTAGTGAGGACCAGGCCTGAGCAAGACAGAGACAGCTGGCAGGGAGAGCAGTCAAAGCTTTCTGGCAGTGCTTTAATGACAGCAGTGTGATTGGCAGGATCTGACGGCGCTGGCGAAGGAGCTGCGTGCGGTGGAGGACGTGCGGCCGCAGCACAAAGCCACGGACTACTCGTCCTCCAGCGAGGACTCGGGCACCACTGATGACGAGGACGACGAGGAGGTGGATCAGGAGGCGGGAGAGGAGTCGACGTCTGGCCCCGAGGACTCCCGTGCCGGGTGAGCCTCGCTGACCATCACACCGCACACTGGGGCTGTCAAATTAACATTACACCTTCAATTTGAAAGAAAAATCCACATTCGAATGCAAACACGTTAGGTGTGCGACAGACAGCTTTATCAGCGGCACACCAGATGCGATGACGATGCAGCTGTCATTGCATGGTAATGCTTTTTTTAGCCTGTCCAGTTCAACCAGTGTTGCCAACTTAGCCATTTTGTTGCTAAATTTAGCAACTTTTCAGACTACCTTAGCACCTAGCAACAAAGGTAGCAATTTCTAACATTTATTTGGCATATTTTGATAAGGGAATCAGACAATAAAAAGGCACACATTATCCATCCAAATTACACAAAAAGAGGAAACCAAAGATGCCTCGCAGTACTGTACACACATCATGTGAATTGAGTTAGCTGCTATTTGCAATTGTTCAATTTAATAATAATTGAATAATTGTTCATTTATGATACACTTTGTTAGTAGCTTGTACCTGCGATTGTTGATCAGTTAGTACACTGTAAGAAAAATGGAAAAGATACTAGTAATTTTCCAGGACATTATCCATTATCACCCTGTAACCTGAAAACACAATGCGTAATTTAAAATGCAGGGAAAAAAACAATACGGAAAATTATTTCATATTGACATAGTAGATTGTGCCCTATATTTACAGACTTTTCTTAGTGTAGCATACTAACTAACTACTAATACACTGCTTAAAGCATAATTGTTGAGAATGTGTAGTATTACTAGTCTACTAGCTATTTAAAAAAAAATGTATTGTGATTATTAAAAATGTGTAAGTGTTCAGTAATTCAATGTATTTAAAAGTACAGTTATTTATATTTTAATATTATATTATGCTTATTATTTTACAAACAGATCTAAATTAACATATCAAATATATTTTTTGCTGAGATTTGATGCAGTGACACAATTTTGCGTCGTGATTACGCAATGGCATCATCGCGCACTGACATCACAACGTCATTTAACAACTTTTAGCAACAAATCGACCTTCCTTTAGCAACTTTCTCTGAAAAATAGTTGGCAACACTGTGTTGAACCCACTCTCGCACAAGAGAGATGCATGTTTAGAAAGCCATGTAAAATGAATGTAAGTTCAAAAATCCCCCTCCCACTGCATCTCATGTTTTTCTATTAAAAAAGTGCTCTGTGTGATTGGCTTTTGTCCCTCTGTATTAAACTATGCATACATGATGCAGTTTTGTTTATAATTGCTTAAGCAACGTAATTGATTATATTTTTTATGAACATTATGCACTTTTTTTCACGGATAGTCGTGTTATTTTATTGCTTTGAACAAACGTGCATTAGTAATATTTTGCTCATTGCGCCCTCTTGTGGCCTCTTGAGAGAAGCCAAAAGCTTTTTCCCTCTAACTGAAATCAGGCCTTTCCTTTTAAATTTGAATATAATTGGAATATTGCTAATATTTAAATGCAAAATTTGAATGTAGTTTTTCAGCCATTTTGACAGCCCTAGTGCCCAGCGATGTGCTGCAGATGTGTGACATTCATCAGGCTACACTGATCACATTCAAGATGTAGAGTAAGAAGCACAGGTAGAAAGACATCATGTGCAGTAAACCTTTATAAAGCACACGAGTGTTCAGAGCAGGTTTGAAAGCGTATGTAATGAGCTCAGATCGTTCTTCTGTGATTGGCAGCTCATCCAGACTCAGTAATGGAGAGACGGAAGCAGCTAAGACCATGGTTGTCCAAGACAACGACGCCTCCTCTACTCCATGCAAAGACAGCACGCTGATCATGAGACAGGTGACACACACACACACTCACTTTCACACACACACACACACACTCTCACACACACACACACTCTCACACTCACATACACACACTCACTCACACACCACACACACACACACACACACACACACTCCTCACTCACTCACTCACTCACTCACTCACTCACTCACACACACTCATTCTCACACACACAGGTTTGTGTTTGTGAAAAGTGGGTAAATGATACTGTGATTACTGATCGTGGGACAGATGGGTCCGGCATGAATTCCTCCTGCTGCTCACGACTCAAAAGCAATTGGGCAGCTTTGGCCGATTTGACTGTTTCTCATCTCATCCCATCTCATTTAACAGCAGAACTATACTGTAGTGCCATAGTGTTCACATACTATTGTAAAACACAACTGTTGAACATTTATGCTATTCTTTCCGTTCTGTTTGGCCATTTTTACTGTTCCTTTATTTCATAATTTTTTCATTGTCTTTGTTTTCTGTGAATTATGAATGTTTTTATTTATTTCTGTTCAGATGATATTAGAATGTTATCGTTTATTGTAAAAAAAAAAACCCTTTTGATAATTGCAAGTTTACTGCAGCGAAGGAAAAGAGCGTTGACTTGAAGCGTTGCATATGCATGGACCCAGACGTTTGCCTTTCTCAGTTCCAGAGAGCAGGGCCTGTGACAGTGCTGGGATCAGGCTGGAGTCCCAGTCCTGTAGAGATTGGGCAGAGGAACTGCATTAGGGGCCTGCCCGACCTGCTCCAGCAGTCCTCCTCGGCTCCCAGCAGCCCTGCCCTGTCCCCCCTCAGTCCCTTGGACAGAGTCCCGTGCCTAGCAGAGGTACGCAGCGCAGTAGAGCCGCAGTCTCTGCTGTTCTGATGGTGGGAGGTCTTATCTGTCTCTTCACGATGCTACCTTTTTATGCTACTAATTCTCTTAGCAAACTTCTAACAGCTTCTTCTGATTAACCAGCATCATTAACTAGTGGATAACGCTAACTGATGAGCCACTCAGACGTGAATAACACATGCTCAAGCAGATGTGCAAAAGGCTTTTTTTTTTCCCAATAAGTGTTTACTGACTGAAATGAAACGGCTCATGTGACTGATGCACATGTCTGGCAATAGTTTTTATTTGAACGTCTGAATTAAAAGATCGTAAAGTTTCTAACAGAAGCAGCCTAGAAACAAAAAAACATTAAGTTGGTAGCTTGTATGCCCGATTAACTCGTAGCATTTGCCCGTTTCAGTTCGAGGTTAACTTCCCCCCCACTTGTCCTGTTGTCAGGAGTAGCTCAAGCGAGTGGAGTATGTCATAAATCGTACAGGTCATGTGTCTGCTGTCCGTATCCATTATAATGGATCTGCTTTTGATGCTACACAATGTGCTGCTGCTCAGGTCCGGTGTAGACATGATGAACTGACCACAAACAACACAAGGTCTAACAATCTTCCCCGGCATCTGAATCTTTGTGCAGCTGCAGTGAGCTTTAGATGGCTTTTAACCTGAGAAGCTCTCTACCCTCGCTCATCCTTCACATGATGAGGTAAAGCAGACATTAAATTGAGAAGGAGAGAGAATATCACATACTTTGGAGATCTGAGGTGATAATATGCTAGTAACAGTGCTAATATGTTTTTTTTTTTAAACTGAGGTCACTTTAAAAAATGATTCCGAAGTTGTTGACCTGGTTACTTGCTTTAAGTGATAGAGAGTCAAGATGTGGAGCGAGAGATACTCTTTGCACATAATTACCGATGACAAGTACCTCTGTCTTATCTTTGTTTAGCTGTAGAAAGTTCTGTGACATCCACAATTTCATGCCGTCTATGCAGTCCAGTAGGGCTGAGCTAAAGGAAACATGTATAGGTTAAATGATAGAGGACCCAAACTTGAGCCTTGAGGAACACCACAAGAAATGGCGTAATGCCTGGAGGTGTAGGTACCCAGTGTAACTTAGTATTTTCAGAAGTTTAGGTACCGTTTTTAATTGTAAAGAAACAAAGAGGTAAGGTGTATATATCTAAAAAGTGAACACACATACTATTATTAGAATATATATATGTATTCGGTAATGCGATATATCACGATAATGAACATGCACGATATTGTTATCATGGCCACTTCAAAATGCAGAGAATAATTATTTATTGCAAATTATTCAGAATTTTGAATGCATTTTAAGAATACTTTTCCCATCAACTTATCACAATGCACAACACTGCTGCGTCAAATCTCATCTGATGTAAACAGATTTGATGAATGCATGAGAAGTGCATTCACTCTCTGACAGCAGATGGCACTGAAGAGCAGAAATGCATTAAAGGGGTCATATGATGCTTTTTAAAAGATCATTATTTTGTGTATTTGGTGTAACAGAATATGTTGACATGCTTTAATGTTCAAAAAACACATTATTTTTCAAATACTGTACATTATTGTAGGTCCTCTATGCCCCGCCTCTCTCAAACGCTTCGTTTTCTACA